GGGCTTCCTCAACCGGCTTCACCGCCGTCGCCGCCGCGAGGCCGCTCAAGCACTCGTTCCTCGAGAAGTCCGCCCGGCGGACAGTCACAACAGTCGCCTTCGTCCGCGGGCAGTCCTTCGTCCCCCTCGTCGCCGATAATGTCCTCTCCCGCTGCCGTCCCTGATAAGGAGACGTTGAAGCTCCTCCTCCCGCTCCGATACGATGGAAAGTCGGTGATCGAATGCAACCGCTTCATCTCGCAGTTGCTCATCTACTGGACGATCAACACGGCCCTCTCTTCCCTCGAACTGAAGATCCAGGTTGCCCTCAGTCTCCTCGATGGTGACGCGCGAGCTTGGGCCACCCCCATCTTCTCCCAGCTTGCCTCCGTCCAAATCGGGATCCAGGGAGCGACAACCCCCTTTGTCGACGAAAAAGCCTTCCTTCAGGCATTCAAGGCCCGTTTTGGCAACCTCGACGACGCCGCCGCGGCACAGGTGGAGCTTACCAAGCTCTGCTCCGACAAAACCATGCGCGAGAAGCGCACCGCCGCAGAATTCTCTGCGCTGTTCAAGGGTCCGGCGGACCGTTCCGGGTATGGGAACCTGGAACTACGCGACAAGTACCTGAGCGGCATCCCCTCCCGCGTCTATCGCAAACTCGAGCTCGAAACCTTCGCCACGTGGCAAGCCGCTGACAAGCGCGCCACCGAGGTCGAGCAAATCCTCGACGTTAGCCGGGCTCGTCGGCCCGAGCTAAACAGCTTCTTCTCGGCGCGAGGACGAGGACGCGGAGGGGCACGCGGTGGTGCACCCTCATCACACGCAGCTTCGGCCAGCATCAATGCGGCCGTCGGAAAAGGAAACTTCCCCGGCACATGCTTCGGCTGTGGGAAGCAAGGGTACCGACGCTTCGAGTGCCCCAATTGTAAGGACAAGCCTTACACAAAACGCGCCGATGCGCGGGCTACGGTTGCCTCAGGATCCACCCAGGCGGCGACAAGCGCCCCCGTCACGACATCACCCTCGGCAAGTATAAGTGCCGCTTCAGCGAAATCCGAGCAATCGGAGCTGGCGGACTTAATGGCACAGGTGAAGTCGATGCGCGAGGAGCTCGAGCATTATCGGGCGATGAAGGAGGAGGGTTTTTGATCCGGTCCGCGCTTCGTGCCGCACGCGTCGGGCCGCGAGTATCATCATGTAATAAGTATAACGTATTATCGACTGCAATGGTGTATGAGCTGGACCAGGGGTCCCAGCATTTTCACATTCCAGTTCGACTCCAGGGGAAAAGACGGCACAAAGACATAATCGCTATGGTGGACAGCGGAGCCACCACAAAGTTTATCAACAAGCGATTCATCATAGAAAATAAGGTGCAGACGCGGAAGTTGAAGGAACCCATTCCGCTGTATAATATTGACGGCACCCTAAACAAGGACGGAAGCATCTCAGAGGTAGCAGTGCTACAGATGCATATAGGAGAGCACGTCGAGAAGACGGTGTTCACGGTCACGGACATCGGTCCAGAGGATGTGATCGTCGGGTTGGATTGGCTACGCGAGCACAACCCCGAAATAGATTGGGAGAAGGGCTCCCTCAAATTGTCGCGATGCCCTGAAATGTGTAGCGCCAGAAGGACTGGCCGAATGGAGCAAGCAGCGACTGCGCGTGATACGGGGGTCAGGCCCACGGCGCGCAGACGTTCGCCGAAGTCCAAACGGTCGGTCATAGGTGCCTGCCGGAGCAAGGTGCTCCCGGACTTCGAACCCGAAGATGATCCGGTAGAGGTAGAGTGGAGCGAGGCTGACTTGATCGAGGCCTGGGAGCAAGGTATCACGCTTCCCGGCGCCCCTCAGCTGTTCGTCGCAGCAGGGCACACGTATTCCCAGCTGTTCGCTGAGGAAGAGATCAAGAAGAAGGTCGTTAAGACCGCCGAGGAGTCGGTACCCAAACAGTACCACGAGTTCCTGAATGTCTTCTCCAAAGAAGCATCAGAACGGCTACCCGAAAGGAAGCCTTATGATCACGCGATCGAACTCGTACCCGGCTACTCGACATTCCACTCAAAGGTGTATCCCCTGTCGAACAACGAACAAGAGGAACTGGACAAGTTCCTAAAGGAGCAACTAGCGAAGGGCTACATACGGGAGTCGAAATCACCCATTTCGTCCCCCTTCTTCTTCATCAAAAAGAAGGAAGGGACGCTCCGACCCGTGCAGGACTACCGCCGCCTGAACGCTATCACGGTCAAAAACCGCTACCCTTTGCCGCTGATCGCCGAGATGGTAGATAAGCTCCGCGGCGCCACGCTCTTCACCAAGTTCGATGTCCGATGGGGATACAACAACGTCCGGATCAAAGCTGGTGACGAATGGAAGGCGGCCTTTGTGACTAACCGGGGGCTGTACGAACCCCTAGTGATGTTCTTCGGCCTCACCAACTCCCCCGCCACTTTCCAGGCAATGATGAATGAGATCTTCCACGATCTCATCGTCGGCGGCAAGATCCTTGTGTACCTGGACGATATACTCATCTTCTCCACCAATAAAGAGGAGCATGAGAAGGTCACACGCGAGGTTCTGCGTCGCCTTCAGGATAATGATCTATTCCTGAAGCCTGAGAAATGCGAATGGGACGTTCCCAAGGTCGACTATGTCGGCTATGTGTTCGGTGGCGATGAGGTAGCGATGGATCCCGCGAAGCTAAAAGGAATTAATGAGTGGCCGGTACCCCGGAACAAAAAGGATGTCCAGAAGTTCCGGGGGTTCTCCAATTTCTACCGCCGCTTCATTAAGGAC